GCTCTCAGCTGGGAATTCCCGTCAGCAGCTCGCCGTCTCCCTCCTGTCAGCTCGGGATTACCTTTCCCTAACAGGGCACGGGAAGGAGAAAAACACGTGGGCACCTGCCAAGCTCATCCCTGCGGCTCCCCTTGCACGGTGACCCCGCCTGAAGGAGAACCGCAGGGCTGGGGATGGGGCAAGGGGCTGCACACCGGACTAATTAGTGCTCGGCTTTGCTCATTAAAGAGGCTCCTTTGGCTGACCTGACCAAATACTTCCCATTGTTTCCTTCAATCCCGTGGCTGCCGGGTGCGCTCGGCGGCGCGGGGAGGAGAGGGGTTGATGGACCAGGGAGGGATCCCGATGCCCTGCCTCACCCCGCCTGCCAGGGCGGCCAAAACTCTGCTGAGAGACACTGGAGGTGCGAGTCAGCCCGGCCGGCGTTTCATTGCCATAAGATAAGCGCCTCGGTGTAGCAACAGAAATCAGGGGTAATTGGCGGGGCTGGAAGGACGGAGCCTTTTGTTACACAAGGTTTAATGGGCCTCTTCGGAGGGAGCAGGAACCAGCGAGCGCTGCAGCCTGGAATAGCGATGTGCTACATCCCATTTCTCAGGAGAGAGGAAGGAAGGAAGGACACGTGAAAAGAAAATAGCAGTAAATGATCCCACTTCATAATTTTTCTTCCTGTAACCCTTCTGGCCTTACAAACAGGAACTTCGTTTTAAACTAAAAATAAAGCCTGATGCCTGTGTCGCAGTTGCAGATGGGTGTTTCCAAGCGCGCCGCTGGGGCTCAGCCCTGTTCTATAAGCAGCCTGGGCTGGGCACCCTAGGAAAGTGCCTGGCTTTGCATTTGCTATATTTACATATCATCAGTTATCAGGAGAACAGGATGTCCCAGGGGATCTGAAATAGGATATGCCACACTCCATCTCCTGGTCAGTTCAGCCACGGGCCAGGCCCGTATGGCTGATCCTGTCTGCCCGTGGCTCTGGGACTGCCGGCCGTGCCCGGTGGGTGTTATCCACCCCTGCCCGGCTGGCACGCAGGCCAGCCTGCTGTGGCATCCCCAGCCTTCCTCCAGACACGTGTGGCTGCAGCACAGAAGAGCTGGGGAGGTGGAAAGCTCCTGTTTCTCTCTCTGCCACACTATTGCAAAGGCAGAGGAGATTTATTCTGCCCTCCAAAAAATCAGGTCTGTATTCTCCTCCACAGTGTTTTTCACACTAAAGCCCCAGCAGCCATCGGGAGCCCTTCAGTACAGGGTGATGGAGCACAAACAAGGCCTTTCCCAGGCAGAGCAGTGCAGGGCAGGAGAAGAACCCCTGGCACAGCTTCCTGCAGGCCCACGGAGGGGCTCGCTGGGGTGCCAAGCACAGAGCAGAGAGGGCAGGTGGGCAGATGGAGGGGTGGGTACCCGGCTCCCTGGCACTGCACACCCTGCAGGGCACGGGCTGTCCCGTCGGAAGCACGAGGGATGCCCTGCCTACCTCACCACCTTGGATTTAAATGTCTTTCTCACACGCTGGGCGTAGCTGCCAAGTATTGTGCCTTCAGTACATCACTCCACCTTGATTTCAAACCACTCCAGCTTGTGTTTGGGAGTGGTTTCCAAGCATTCAGCTCACCCATATCTTATCCACACTGGTTTCCTTTATGAGCTGCACCCACTACAGGTCCAGAGCTTTAAATGCAAACCCAAACAAATATGTGGTCGCACTTCCCATTCCCACTGGACTGGCCTGGAGTGGGAGTGGAATGAGTCAGGAGTACCATAAAGGAAAGTGAAATAGATCCACCCTGAGCAGATGATAGGATCAGGGCAGATTAGTAGCCTTGGATCAGATTCAAGGGTCAGCATAAATCTTTAATCTTTGCAAAGTCCTCGAGCCTCCCTCCCCTCACTGTCTCACATGCACACACACCAGGCATGACTAAACAGCTCTCTGCGGGGATGGCAGACGCTTCAGAAACTCCCGACTGGTTTTGGTTTGCAAAATACAACAATAAAGCTGCTCTCTGTTCTGTGAACGTGAGAACTTCCCTACGCAGGCACCTCGCCCCTGGATGCTGTGGGGTGCTGCCAGGGACTGTGTCACACCACAGCCACTGCTCCCACCGGCACCGGGGGCTCACTGGGGCCCCTCCGCTTTGCTCTGACCCCAGAGTCAGGCTGCACCAGCCAAGCATCGGGTGAGAGCCAAGGACAGTCCCCACCTTGTGCCTTATTAGGTCCCGACGTGGTCTGCCAGCACGTCATTACTCATTATTCCTCTATATTTGCTTCCCACTGACGCTGTGCTGAGTGCACATAATCTGGATAGTTCCCAGGTTTCACGTGGAGCTGCAAGTGCCTGGCTCAGGGGTGGTGGAAATGCCAGGCTGCCCTGGGAAGGGGCTGTGTGGGAGCAGAGGGACTGGAGGAGAGGCGTGTGCCAGCTTTGCACCCAACTGATGCACTAAAGGAAAAGGAAAGAAAAAAAAAAAAATACATAGCAAAAAGCCCTGGCCTAGTTTTTGTTTCACTGTGCTGGGCTCAGGCTCGAAGGATGTGGTTTGGTGGTCAGCGCATAAGACAGCAAATGAAAAAAAAAAAAATTCCTTTGATTAAATCCAGATCGGGTCTGTGCAAGCTCTTCCTGTGGCCATCGGGAAATCACACGAGGGAAAACCCTGCCCACGCTGCCGGTGGCTGGGCACCAAGGGACGTGACGCAGCCCTGCGGTGGCCCCATCCTGCTCGGTGGGGCACTGTGTCCCACGGAGCAAGGTGTCCCATCCTGGCACCTGGAGGACTCATTCCCCAGGGGGGCTCTGAGACATCCATCTCACCATGCTGAAGGCTCCATCTCAAGCCTCCTTGATAGATTTATAACAATTCAAGTCACTCTCACCGCTGCTCTGCACACAAAGGGCCAGGCAAGTTCTGTATAAGCGAATATTTATATATTCCCATAAACATTTTTAAATGGGAAATTGCCTAATATGACTTATTAAAGGGAAAGCACGAACAGCTGGCCGAGGGCGCCTGGCAGAGCTGCTGACGGTGGATGTGCTGTTGCTGCTGCACCTCACAGCTCTAATTGTTTCAGGAATCCTTTGACTCATCTTCCGAACGGCTCCAGGATCTGAACAGAGATCTCTGTCTTGCCGGCCTCCTTCAAAACACTTTTGCCTCGCTGCTGGGTTCAAAAAGCTCGTGCTGCAGATGCCTCCTGACCTCAAGTGCCCAGGTGCTCTCTGGAGCCCGGAAAACCCCTCGGTGGTTCCTGCCTCAGCCGCACACTGCAGCGGGGCTCGTGCTCCTCACACGTGCGGCTCACCAGGCCCTGCCACAGCAGCTCCCGGCCACAGGTCCTGGGGACAAGGACCTGCCACCAGCCAGCCTCACCCCAGCAGGGTCCTGCCAGGACCCGGCCCAGCCACACACCTGCCCCTTCCGCCCAATTCTTTGCTTTCCCGGGGAGACACAGTGAAAGCCCTGAAGCGCAGGAAAGCTGTTCCTGGGCTGCTGGGGATCAGGACCACGCAGGTCCATGGCTTCTCCCTGGGGACCAGGGATGTCACTGAGCACTGCAGTGCCAGCCTGCTCTGTTACTATGGGGACAAGCACCACAGGGCTGACAGGAATAAATGTATAAAATTCCCCAGCAGCTTCACTCTGGGGGTGGCAGTGGGATCACCGTAACCTGCCGTCCCTCTGTGCCCCTTGCCCGGCTCGGTGGCCTCCACCCCTTGTGACACCCAGCCCGTTGCTATCTTTGCCCAGTGTGCCGGGCTGACAGCTAAGGGCTCACACTCAGCGGAGGCAGCGTGCCCAGAGCATCCCTGGGCTGTGGGCACGGCTCTTTGGGCAGCACACGGGCCCTGTGCCCCCACCAGCACCGGGCAGGGTTTGCCACAGCCGGGCACAGGAGGCAAGGCAGCCTCGGGAGCGGAGAGACTCAGGCCTCGCTCGCTCACTCCTTATTCACCCGGCTACACGAGCTCCGGGCAGGGCTGAATTCCCCGTGACCTTTGGACACTCATTTCAGCCATGGAAAGGGTGATGGGCAGCCAGAGGGAAGGGAAAACAGGCAAAAGGCCCGGCGAGATGGCAGCGGGCACTGCTGTGGGAGCCTCCGGGCCGGGCTGCTCCCCAGGCTGGGAGGTGGCAGCACCGCAGGGCCTTCCAGGGCCCGGCTGGGCAGAGCTCCTGGGACACCCCAGTGCTGCTGGTGCCCTTCCTGCTCCACCCAGGGAAAGGCTCCGCTCCCAGGAGGATGGGCCCGAGGAGGGAGGGAGCTCCAGGCACGGCAGGGCCGGGGACAGCTCTCCCGAGGGCATCGTCTTAGAAAGCGGCTCTTGGGAGGCCCGGTGATTCAAGGGGAAAGCTCTGCAACACTCATTCTGGGAAGTTTCCATTTGAATTGCTGCAAAGAGCAGTTTTTCCATGATAAACAGATTGCTTCAGTTCCCCAGCAGCACTGGGGGGGTCACGGCCACCCCCTCCCTCCACGGGGCCCTGAGTCATCCTCCAGCCAAGGGCTGAGCCCGGGCCGGTGTGGCAGGGCTGGGATGGGCCATGAGAGGTGCTCCGAGCGCTTCCCGCACCACAGGGGAATTCATTCCCAGAGCAACTGGCACCTCTCTGAGGCCAAATGTTTGTCTGAAATCAAGAACCTGAGAAAACCCCTCCTAGCCAAGTCCTGACCAGCGTGTGCAGTGCCAGGGCCCCTCTGGGGCTCCCTGGGCTTTTCATTCCTGAAGCAGGACTCCAGCACTGGTGGGTCAAACACTTGGTACAGGCAATGCTGATGAGAACCCTGCCTCCTGCATCCCCACACCACCAGGAGTTCTGGATCATGAGGAGGCTGCCCAGCCCCTCCTGTTTCCCTGCAGCCCCAGAGCAGCACCCCAGCCCTGGCCAGCAGCACTCATCTCCTCCTTGGGCTGACACCAGAACCAGGCTTCATGTCCAGGGAAGCATGAAGCACCCAGCCAGCTCCAAGGCAAACATCTAAGCAGCAGAGATCAGTGAGAGAGAGGAATCCCGCTCCCTGTGCCTCCCTAATCCTGTGGAATAATGCATCCCATGAAGTGCAGTCTGGATCCAGTCCAGCACTCACGGAAGGCAATGACAGACCTCCCACTGATTTCAATGGGAGCAGAGCGAGCTGGGGTTTAATCAGTGTGGTACCAGCAGCAACAGCTCGTCAGCCCCAGCATTTCTGAATACATTAGAACACATTGCCTATGCCCATAGGTCACATTTCATCTCAAATCACACCAATTTCACAATACATGCACTAATACCACGAGATAATCATCAGCAACTGCTTCCATTTGGGATGGAGCTTTACCCCAATCAATAGCTGCAGTCAAACCCCACCAGCAGGTCCCCAGGCCCTGCCACAGCAGGAGGAGGGTGCTGGGAAAGGCCCCCAGCATGGCCATAACCTTATTAATGATTCGGTGTCAAGAATAGAAATAAGAGTTAAATCTTCCCTAAGCTGCTCAGCTGCACACTGGTGGTGTACACATCCTCGGGCAGCAGCACAAACACGCGCTCCGTGCACACCCCGTGACGCGGATAAGCAATATTTCAGCCCTAATAGTTTGCATATTCATCAGTCCTTTCAAAGCAGAATAGATCTCGGCCTTTTCTCGCTGCCACGGCACGGAGGCGACCGGAGAGCCGCACGGAGGAGGGAATGCTGCTACACTTCCAGCAGCAGCACGGGCTGAAGGAAGGATAAAGCTGCGTTGCAGAGAGAAACTAATTATTCCTCTTGTGAGACAGCTCTGGCAGCCACAGACTGTGGCCATTGCTCCTTGGGCTGAGCTGGTGTTCAGAAAATGACGTGGGAGCCCATCCTGGGTACTGGAATAAAGAGCAGAGGTCAGAGAGGAGGTAAAAATGAAGCACTGGGGGCAAGTCCAAGGCTATAATGCCAGCCCAGCCCTTTCCCATCAGTGCTGTCACCCCGCAGATGGTCACTCATGGACATGGGCAGGGCTGAGATGAGCAAGGCTCCATCCCACAGCAAGCACCCACCTGCCTCAGCCAGGCCTGCCTCTGTGTAGTGCAAAGAGATGGATGGCAGGAGGAGCCAGCCCAGGATAGACCCCAGCCAGCTCCCACTATCCCATGGGCAGCAACAAGCACAAGAGGAGCTGGGGGAGTTGCCTTTTATTTCCAGGCATTCCTGTTTCCATCAGCTGTGTGGTATTTCCCAGCCTGCTCCGTTTGCTGTTTTAACAAGGCACATGTGGTGAGAAACCCTTCCCATGCAGAGCTTTCCTGTCTGGCCATTTCCAGAGGCACTGGGTGTGATGGCAACAGCTGCCTCCATGGGGTGATGTGCCTGGGGCAGAAACACACCTGGGAGAAAGACACATGGCTAAGAAATGAATTATTCCAAAATACAATCCTCCATTTCTTACACTGCAGCACGGAGGTGCCTCAGGAGTGAGGGCACAGGGGTACAGGCACCCCTGAGCCATGGCCACTGCTCCCAGGGCAGAGCTGCCTTGCCCAGGGCCAGTAATGTTCTCTGCAATTAGCAGCTGTCTCTGGCACTGAGAGGCATTGGGAGAGTTCTCAAGTGCCGTGAACTGCCCGCAGAAGGGCAGTGGGAAAGGTCTGGAACACGAGGGAGCAGCGAGAGCCACATCTCCTGGCTCCGGCAGCACGCCAGGGTTACAAAACACGGACACCCCGTGTCACATAGCGAGGGTCAGTGTCACCAGCCCCGCGGGCTACGGTTACACGGGCTGAGCCCAGCAGAGTCATTCTGCCTGCAGCCCTGTGGAGATCATTCCTCCTCTGCCCCGGGCATTCCCAACCCTCTCCTTCCATCCTGAGCATCACACGAAATGTCTAAGGGGAAAAAAAGCCTTGCTCAAGACCTGCTGCTTTTTCCACGCTGAAGCAGAAACAGCAATTATCTGGTTCAGTCTGGTGCTGCTGGCCTGGAACATGCCATGACAACGTGTTTCTCGTTTCAAAGCCTCTTTTGTACTAGGACACAGTTCAAGGGATCTTGCAATGCCTGCATTTGTAAACACGCCGCACTTGCAGCTACACGCTCTGCAGATGAAAGCCAAGGCAGAGCACAAGGGCACTTCTCCCTCCGTGTGTCACGGCCGGGGGACGGGGCAGCTCCCCCCAGCTCAGCTGAATCAGAGCTCCGGCAGCCCTGGGGCTGGCTAACCATGCGTGGTCCTCAAAAGTCACGGCACGTTCAAAAAAATGGAGTCCTGGAAAAGGGTGGGGGGGAAAAAATCACAGCAAAAAAAATGTGCGTCACTGCAGATTATTTTAGGCCCTGGTCCATGCATAATGCAAATAAGCAGCTCCCGGGGTACATGCCTGTAAAAACCATCCAGTCCCACAGCGCTCGGCTACGGGAGCTTTCCAAACAGGTGGTGAAAAGCTAAAATTATGTGTCTGTGTGTCCTCACCGGGGTTAGGAAAGGCCCTGGCTCTCAGGAAGGCTCTCCCCATGCCTCCACAGGGCTGGTATGAAACAGGACCGAGACATTAAAAAATTCAGGAGCATTTCTTTCCTTTTGAGGCAATCCTGCACTCCCACTCAGCTAACCTCACTCAGCACCTCCACGACACCCTTTGATCTGCCTGACCCCGCTGCCCCCTCTCACCTTCTCTTCACACACACTAACTTTTTTTTTTTTTTTTTTTTTTTTTTTTTTTGCCTAAAATCATTAAAATCATTGTATCCTCCTTGTCTGACTTCAAGGAGTCGCACGGGAAGCCCTATTTATGGGTTGAAATGCTGCTGAAAGAGTTATTGCCGTGTTATTCAGCTGTTGTGCCAAGCCTGCATGGGGATCGGGTTTCTGCTGAAAGGGTGCCAGGCACGTCTTTTTCCAGGAACCAGCAGCCGTATTTAGCCTCCGGCTGCACATGAAAGACTGCAGTCGGAAACGTGACATTGTGTCAACATTTGAGGCAGGTCAGAGCTGGGTGAGACCATGAAAACAAGCCCGGGAACTCAGCACACCCCGGCGGGGCAGGCAGCACGGGCTGTCCCAGACTGGCACTGTGCCGGGGGTCGCCCCTCCATCCGTCCTTCCTTCCTTCCTTCCTTCCATCCATCCTTCCTTCCTTCCTTCCTTCCATCCATCCATCCATCCATCCATCCATCCATCCTTCCTTCCATCCATCCTTCCTTCCTTCCTTCCATCCATCCTTCCATCCATCCATCCATCCATCCATCCATCCATCCATCCATCCATCCATCCATCCTTCCATCCATCATCTTCCTTCCTTCCTTCCTTCCTTCCTTCCTTCCTTCCTTCCTTCCTTCCTTCCTTCCTTCCTTCCTTCCTTCCTTC